TAGAGGTCCTAACCGGGCCCCAGGGCAACGTAAGAAGATACCCCCCCCTTAATAATATGCCTTGCTGGGGGGGTAGTCACTATATGCCCGGCTGATTTAGGGACTCTCACCAGGCTCATTTGTGAGAGTGGGGGTGGGGGCCAAAAAAATGAGCCCCGGGGACTCATAACAGCTAGTATGAACCTTTGTACTTCCGTATACGTAAAGCAAGTGATGTGTCCATAATGCGTGCCTGTTCCGGTGTGATGCAGGCATTTTGCCTTGGAGAGGACATGATAATGCAGGCATTTTTCCTTGGAGAGGGCATGATAGGACATCGGATAGGACATGCAAAACACCATGGAAAGCATATAGCAGTTCAGCACAGACAGAGTCAGAAGCATGGTGTGGGGCATCGCTCGATATGACCGCTCCCACTTGAAAGCTGGTCGTGTGGATCGCCACTGGACAGCTGTTTAGGGGGGGGGGGGGTGAGCTGGGCTTAGGCTGTGCATGCTCCGTGTCTGCTTTCATTTTTGCTACGCCAAGATGAATGGTACCACGATGGTCAGATGTTTCGCTCTTGGTCGCAAGCTGCGGAGTGGGCAATGAAGAGTGGAGTGGAGGTCCGTATTTAACCGGGGGTAGGGCAGGCTAGGTTCGTTTCGGTGCTGGGCGATTGCTTGCCGACAGGCTCCTCCGTGGCACACGGAGTACAAGGAGGATCAGGATTGGGTTGGGGGGTTGTTGGACTTTGGGCTTTTGAGTGGTTTGGAATGATTCTATGGTTGCAGGACCCAGTGCTGCAGGGCACGGTTGGTCGGAAGAGACGGAAGAAGCAGGCAGGGTTGTGGCTCAGGCTGGTGTCCGATGTGTCCTTGCTCATTGTAGCGGGTGCCTTGGATCAGGGTGCTTCTGCTCCGGCTCCTCCGGCTGGGATTGCCGTGTGCTCAGCCTCCGAGGTTGATTGTGTAGCTACTATCAATTACTTCGAAACCCTAGGCCCTAGACCCCTAAAAGAGTGTAAATCCTTAAACACTTGAACCCTAAACCCCAAATCCTCCCAGGTGGCAGCGGCGCCGCCCGATGCTCCTGCTTTGGGTTCCTCTGCTGGGCGCTTAAGAGTCATGGTTCTAATTTGCAGATGTTGTCGGGTTGGTTTGGTCAGGATGCCTCGACTCCACTGGCACCGATTGCTGATGCCTTGGGCTCAGTTTGCTTGCGAGGGATTGCGAGGGTTAGCCTGAAGAGTGAGCGATGGGCACTGTGAGAGTGCCCATCCGATCCTTCGTGGATCAACAGTCGATCAACATCGACACGATCATCTAGACTTGGGCACTGGGACAGGGCCCTTGTCTAGGCACACGGTCACCGTGACACGGCCCGTGTGCGGAAGTGTGCTCCCGTCCAAGATCAGCCGAGAGAATTCGGAACGACCGGCCAGCAGCGGCTGGAGGTGGGCACTGTGACAGGGCCCACATTGGGAGCACACAGGCCCTGTGAGAGGGCTCCATGTACCATAGCCGGTTGTGGTCCGAAGTGGATTTTCTCGCGGATGAAGCTTGTTGCGACTCCGAGGTGTTGCCGACCCCGCCGGCGCCTGGGTCGGAGGCACGTGCTGCCATGTTGCTTTGAGCCTGAAGTTGGGACCGATTCTAGGGACTCAAGCAAGTGGCGAGTTCTAGTAAGCAAGCTGCACCACATGCCGGCCAGCCCCATCCCCCAAATTATAGCAAGCCCCAGTTCTGGCTGCCAGCCGAGGCGGGTGAGAGTTTGCTTTGGAGTGGGCTTGCAGGCTTGGCTTGTTGATGGCAGGACTCCAGGGTGGCTCAGCAGGATGAGGTGGGATAAATCCTCGGTGCGGTGTTGGCTGCTCCAGCGCTGTGTACTCCCGGAGGATGTGGTTCCGGCCGCGACATCGATCGAGGCTGGCTTCTTCCCATTGCTTTCAGATCTTCGCTGGATAGTAGATAGTGCCAGGAAGCCCCACCCGTGGTGGCTGCAGCCGAGGCGGGTGAGAGTTTGCTTTGGAGTGAGTTTGCAGGCTTGGGTTCTCTTTGGCAGGATACCAGCATGGCTCAGCGGGACGAGGTGGGATAGGATTCCTGGGTAATCCTCGGTACCTCGTTTGCTTTGGAGCCTTGAACTCTGGGAGGTTGTGGTTCCGGCCGCGACATGGACTGAGGCATGCTTCTTCGGATTGCTACGTGATCTTAGCTGGATTGTTGTTCGTGCTAGGATGCTCCACCCCTGGTGGCCACAGCCGAGGCGTGTGACAGTTTGTTTTGATGTGGGATTGCAGACTTGGGTTGCTGATGGCAGGAGTCCAGGATGGCTCGGCGGGACGAGGTGGGATAGGACTGCTGGGTAATCCTCGGTACCTTGTATCCTTTAGAGCCTTGAACTCTCGGAGGTTGTGGCTCCGGCCTCGACATGGACCGAGGCCGGCACGAGTGGATTGCTTGGTGATCTTTGGTGGATTGGATTTTGAATGATGTCGGAGTCACTGATGGCAGGATTCGGCAGTGGCTGGGAGGCAGCAGCCACAGGACGGGTCTTTCGGCAGCTTGTTTCTCTTTTGCAGTGGGGCCTCTCGGAGGACCCGGCTCCAATTGTGGCATGGACCGAGGCTGGCACAAGTGCATTGCGAGGGTTGTGGCCATGCCTTACTTAAGCGATGTTTGATTCGGGCACTGCGACAGGCCCTCGGGACGCCACTTGGCGAGATGAAGGCCGTGTGGCTATGTGTGGCTTGTGAGTCGGCGCATGTCTTCTGCACGTTGCCGCATTGCGGAATCATTGCATTGCATGGCAGATCGCGGCATGGGGCTCTGCAGGCTGCACACAGGCATACACAGGCTAGGGCGTTCCCAGGGGCGGCAGTGGGCATTGCAGCCAGCATCAGCCAGCATCAGGCAGCAGGGCGGCAGTGGGCATTGCAGCCAGCAGCAGCCAGCATGAGGCAGCAGATGGCAGCACACATGTTAGGGCGATTTTAGGCCGACTGGGACCTGCCGTGGACCGGCCAGGAGGAGCAGCCCGCGAAAGGTGGTGGGAACCGAAGTGGCAAAGGCGCCACGGCTGGCAAGAAGGGCGGCAAAGGCGCCACTGCTGGCAAGAAGAAGGGCGGCAAAGGCGCCAAAAAGAGCGGTGCAGCCAGCGGCTCGAGTGCGAAGCCGAAGACCGCCATGAAGAAGAAGAAGGACAAGCATGGGGGCCGCACTCAGCTCGAGCGGGAAGCAATTCGCTCGACGCTGCTGGCCAAGGTGAAGAGTGTCCAGGCGACGTTGGACAGTCAGGTTCGGGAGAACGTCGCCTTGGAGGAGAAGGTCAAGGAGGTGGTGGTGACCGTGGACAAGCAGAAGGATGAGATCAAGGACTCGTGGGCTCTAGTGAACGGTATCCCTGAGCTCTTGTCGTGCACGGTTGGCTCCGAAACTCCACTGCTTCAGGACTTGAAGCAGCAGCTGAGCATCCAGAAGAGTATCGCGGCAGGCGCCAATGGGCGCCAGAAGGAGCTGGAGCAGCGGTACCAGGAGCACACCCCTTTGCTATCTTCTGTTGTTCTTCTGCTATTCTCGGGGAAGTTTGTACAGGACAACATGAAAGCCTGGGTCACCATGAAGAAGGCCAAGCCGCTGTCGTGATCGGAGCTGGGCTGCATCGTGGGGCGTTCTCTGGCACTCTTCTTGACAGGAGCTGCAGGACCA